GCTACAAGCCATAAGGATTGCATCTAAGTGCTAACGGACCTTGCTATTGTGTTTGGGGTTCAAGGGTAAACTCCTTTGGAGTTTACGGATTTGATGACCTTTACCCTAGGAGTTTATGGTAGTAAACTCAAGGGTTTACGATCATAAGCTCTAAACCTTTTGACCATATGATGATTTGAGGTTTTACAAGTCCTTTGAAGCATTTCTACTTGGTGGTTTGGACTTTGCAAGGGACTAGTGCAACAAAACACTCCTTTGAGGAGTTTACGGCCTCATGGTCATTTCTCTTTGGGTTTACTACCTTAAACTCATGAGTTTACTACCTTAAACTCATAAGTTAGGTATTTGGGGGGTTTTCAAGTCCTTAGCTTAATCATGGCAATAGTCTAGATTAGATTTAGACATAAGCAATAACCATTGAACTTTTATGGGACTTTTATGCACTTATTGGGGTGTTTACGGTTTTAGGAGATCCCCAAACCGTAAACACATAAAAATGGAAGTATTTGGTGCTTTTTGTGTGATAAACTCATTAAGGATGAAGCTAGACAAGTCCCTAAGGCATGGTGAAGCATCTAGGCACCTTAAGGCACCACTTTGCACCATAAATGGTGTTTACGGTTTTGGGAGCCTCCCAAAACCGTGAACACCTTGATCTTGGTGTTCTTGGGACTTTTATTTGATGTTAATATGTACTACAAGCTTAAGAAGACCCAAAGATGGAAGTACATACTATAAGGAAGCCTGGATTTAGCTAAAAGTCCAAGAACACTTAGTGTGTGTTCTTGGTGTTTTTGGAAATCTAATCACAAACACAAAAGTGAATGGATGAATAGATGCACGAACACTAGTTTAAGTGTTTAATCAACTTGAAATGGATAGAACACTTACAACTTGGAAGATCTTGAATTGTTTGTAGTTTGCTACTTGAGAGGTTTTCTTGAGTTTACTCTTTTGGATAAATGGGGAGTAAACTCATATTGACTAGACTTAGGGAGTAAACTCATGGATAAGCATGAGTTTTCGGATTTTGGTATGATTTTTCGACTCAAACGAAATAGTTTGGCCGAGAGTTTCTAAGACGCGAGATGTTTGCGGATTTTAAAATTTAAAACCCGAGACGACACTTTCTTTCACCCGTTCGTTTAAAAATAATATTAAAATAATCAAACGAACTTTATATTTCTTAAAATAAGAAATAATGATATTAATTTATTATACGAAGTGGTTGACTTTTAGGGTTTGACCGAATGAAGATTTCGGGTTGTCACATTATATTTTTGGAAAAACTTCAAAAATGATCATTGTGGTTTCCAAAAATATCAAGTTTAGTCCCTAAGTTCAAAAAACCTCACAGATGGTCTCAGTGGTTTCAAAACTTTTAACAAATGGTCCTTCCGCCTAACTCCGTCAGCCTTCTACCGTTAAGTGAGCGGCATTTTCGTTATTTCAGTACACATGGACCATTTATGAGGTTTTCTCTATTTAATATATATATATATATATATATATATATATATATATATATATATATATATATATATATATATAATTATTTAATTAAATGGCCTCTCTCTCTCTCTCTCTCTCTCTCAGAGTACAAAACACCATAAAACTACCACCCATCTTCACACCTTTGTGATTCACTGCTACTCTTCTTCCCTTTGTTTTTTCGCTGCCATCAACTAGAACAAGAGTTACAAAGCAACATGTTCAGATCGAGGACTCGTATCATATACAGGTTCTTTTGGGTGTCTCTCTTCCACTGATAAACTTGTGACATCAATCTCAGACCTTTCTATTAAGCTGCCATGTTCTTCAAAATAAGAACTTGTTTCTGAAACTGATGTTGCCACCTTATCGCCGTCTTTCTAATTATATACCTGTTCACTCACTTCATCAGATGATGACAGACTTGATGCCCTGCTATGAACTGCTTCTGCCATAATCTCCAAAGAAGAGACCACATTCACCACTTCTTGTTGATTCATCACATTATCAACACTTATTTCATCCTCATGAAGTCTTTCATCTCCTTCCCTCACTTGAACAGATTCCACATTGTCATCGATATCATCTTCAAAAGAAATAAGTTCTGGTTCTTGAGAAAGGTCAATATGGTCCTTATTTTCAAGGTCATCATCTGAAGAAACAGATTCTGTATCAGATATAGTGTGACATCCCCATTTCACGGCCAGAAAAGACCGCTTTTGTTTATGCTTTATGAAAATCAGAGTACCTCTTTTAATAAAAACGTTGCGGAATTTGTTCCCTACTAAAACATGATAAATACGTTATCAAAGCATTTCCGAAGAAAAGTATTTTTAATTCGTTTTAAAACATTTGGGATGTCATCGTCAATACAGAAACATAAGCATAAATAGAACTTACGTTCATTATCATTAGTGATCTATATCTCCTTAATCTCTCGGTGTAAGGCAACTTCACATCGTCACATGTGATATAAATAAACTGAGTGGGTCAGGTTGGGAAACCTGGTGAGTACATATGGTTCTCAACCCACAATAATATAATTATTATGTTTAAACAATCAAACAATCAACCCAATTACCCATCCCCATTGTCTTCTTTACTCTTAAGGATCTATCCTAAGAGTCATTTATCCTGCATTCGTTTATTCCGAAGTCCCTTGCTTCCAAGGTTATAGGACTGGCACTAAATCCATAGTTGCCAATGCTCATTCGTAAAACGCTAATTCCATAGCTGCTGGGTACTAAATCCATAGCTATCAGTGTTTATGTAATAGGTACTATGTCCATAGCTACCAATTCCTAACAGGTACTAAGTCCATAGCTACCAGTTCCTAACAGGTACTAAGTCCATAGCTACCAGTGTTTGTCTAATAGGCACTAAGTCCATAGCTGTCGATGTTATTTGTTAGGCACTAAGTCTATAGCTGCCAATGTTTACTCACTTCATCTTTTATCTCTCATCATTCATCTACCCATCTCATACCCAACATACTTGTATATTTAAAATACGTATACAGTTCAAATCATTAAAAACATGTATAAAAAAAACGTTCATCCAGCATAGACAGCAAGTATTCAGATAATATGCATACATAGCACGTAGTTTATATAAAATACTTCATATCTATGTGTAAGATGAAAGTAACTATGCACTCACCTGAGAAGGTGGTGACTCGGTACTCGGACAGCGCTTCGCTTACTTTAAAATAATTTCCTTCGATGAAACCTAGTATTATCACCACTAGATTTTAGTCTAATATTTACCGTGACTAATTATTAGTTTTATTATTATTATTATTATATAAGTGTTTAAACAATACTTTCCAACCACTATGTACAAACAGGGGCCAGACATAAAACACCGGAGGGCAGGACCATTTTGGTGTATAGCACTTCTGAAATCCAACAACCCTATGCGACCCTTTAAATCAGATTCCCCGTACCGCAAGTAGTTAAAAAGATATTATAACGGCACTTATATAAGTCATAATAATAGCTCAAATATTTATTATAAATTTATAATAAGAATACTAATTTTAAATAAAAACTATATTTAAAATAGGGTAAGCATAACTTACTTACAAGGGGATTTTAGTTAGGAGTCGGACTCTGCAGGGGCAGAACTTCGTCGCTGAATCTTTCTAAGAAAGATTCGTGCAGCGCTTCAGCGCTCACCTTACTATACTAAAACTACAAAAAGAGAAGTCGAATCACGAGGGACCGAAATGCTCGGGGGATAAGGAGAGAAAGACTCTTGAATCAAGAGAATGGTGCAAAAAATATGAGAGCTCAAACCTCTTATTTATAGTAATTGAATTTACAAAAACTACCCTCCATAATTAGTTAATGACCTTATAGTTATATAAACAACTAAACACCCCTTTATAATACTATTTTAAATATATTTAACAATATTTGCACTAAGATAATGTCGAAAGAACTCAACATTAGTTTTATAATGACCGCATCATCGATACATTGCTAATGATTTATATATATATATATATATATATATATATATATATATATATATGTGTGTGTGTGTGTGTGTGTGTGTGTACGTATATATGATTTATACTTTATTTTAATACGTAAATATGTTATTATAATTTGTAACTCGTTCATACGAACTCCGTTTTTGACGTTATTTATATCCACGCGTAGGTGGAGACGTACTCTACAACTTTCGTTCAGATTCCGTCGGCTAATTTTGACTTTATTTTTAAAGTTATATTTTTAACAGGCCGGGACAGGATTGGTCCGTTAAAATCTCATAACTTCTTTATCCGATGTTCATTTTCGTCTGTCTTTTTATCGTTACGCTACTAATAACGAGATCTTCAATTCTCGTTTAGGTTGTGTCGGCTAAAAACCGCTCGATCTAATACTCAAACTTCGGGCTGTACACCGCTAAGCCGAAACTTCGAAAAATCATAACTTCCTTATAAGAGGTCAGATTTAGGCGTTCTTTTTATGGACGCTCTCAGGTTAACATATTCTATGACTTTCATATAGATTACTAAGGCTAAAAGAAGCTCTATCATAAATTCACTATTTACGTCTTCGCGGTGCCGTGCCGGTTCCGTCGCTAAACTTCAACGGGTCATAACTTCTTCGTTATAACTCGTATTTCAGCGCTCTTTATATGTACGAAATCCTTGAGACATATTCTAAAGCTTGGTTAAGATTATTTATTCTAAATAATCTTTTGTTGAAAAGTTGTTTTCGACCCCTATTATCTCTAAATTGACTAGCCCGGATCTACGGACGTTAAATATAGAGCTCAACTTGGAGTCACTAACTTCACTTGATTGTCTTTCAAAAGCCACTGAACCAACATGTTCAGGTACAAAGTAAGGTCTTTCATGGCTTTCAGAAATCAACTCTTCATGTTCATGTTCTTGATCTTTTTCAGAAACCAGTTCGGGTTCTAGATAATGGTGGTCATCTTCTGTATGATCCTCATTTTCAAGATCACTAGCTAAAGATACCGATTCTGTATCAGGTATGGAGCTCAACTTGGAGTCACTAACTCCACTTAATTGTCTTTCATATGCTAATGAAGCAACATGTTCAGGTACAAAGTAAGGTCTTTCATGGCTTTTAGAAATCAACTCTGGATGTTCATGTTCTTGATCTTTTTCAGAAACTAGTTCTTGTTCTAGAGACTATTCATTTCAATATACAGTGACTGCCTGTTGTTTTGTGACATCCCAATCACCGCCTCCTCCTGTTGTGACCCACCACCATCAAACACCCCGACACCACTGCTTCCTTCCACCTATTGCCTCCACTCCAACTTCCACTTGCCATCACCTTCACCAAGAAACACCGGTTGCCACCTCGTCTTTCTCTCTGTATCGACAAGCAACACAAATCCCCGCTAGCGTAAGTGTCGACCGACCACCAGGAGGCTTCTCCCTCCCCCCGCTCATCTTTCCCGTCGAGATTAGGCAGAATATAATTGATTGGTAGGTAGATGTGGAATTTTGATTAAGAAGGAAGAGAGGAAGAAGATGAAGTGTTCATCTTGGGTAAAAAGAAAAAGGAGGAGGTGGGGGTATACGGTGAGAGAGAGAGAGAGAGAGAGAGAGAGAGAGAGATAGAGAGAGAGAGAGAGAGTGGAGCCCTTTATATATATATATATATATATATATTATATATATATATATATATATATATATATATTATATATATATATATATATATAGAGAGAGAGAGAGAGAGAGAGAGAGAGAGAAAACCTCATAAATGGTCCATGTGTATTGAAATGACGAAAATACCTCTCACTTAACGGTAGAAAGCTGATGGAGTTAGGCGGAAGAACCATTTGTTAAAAGTTTTGAAATCACAGGGACCATCAGTGAGGTTTTTTGAACTTAGAGACTAAACTTGATATTTTCGTAAACCACAGAGACCATTTTTGAAGTTTTGTCTATATTTTTTTTTCTGTTTTAGAATATATATATATATATATATATATATATATATATATATATATATATATATATATATAGGGTAAAGTGAATATACCTAACAACCTTATATAAGCTTAGGTACCTAACCACATTATACTATGTAATTTTGTATCATATTTGCATTGTAATCACTCAAAGTTCTTAAAATTCAACCTCATAACTTGATTGATTTCAAAATCTTTGGACTTTCACCATTATCTTCCTTCAAATGACGTCTTTCTATCGGAGACCCCCTGGTGGGCTTCATATACTACCGTTACAAATCAAATGGTGTATGAGGAATATAATGGTGAATGTCTGAAAATATTGAAAGTAAATCAAGTTAAGGGTTGAAGTTTAAGAACCTTAGACGATTGCAATGGAAATATAATGCAAAACAATGTAGTATATAATGTGGTTAGGTACCTAAGCTTATATAAGGTTGTTAGGTATATTCACTTTACCCATATATATATATATATATATATATATATATATATATATATTATATATATATATATATTATATATATATATATATATATAGCGTTGAGCGTTGACTGACCTTCCATGGTTACATTCTCAAAAAGAAATGGTGGGTATACACTACGCTTAATAAATCGTAGTAGTCAAATTGGAATGCTTTTGTTGCAATTGGCATTCTCGTACTACCTTCCAAAATTTCATCATCCACTTACTTGATCAGACCAAGTGCAACTTGCAAGTTGCAAGCCTAATACAGATGTCCTAAATCTACGTTCAATGAATGCAAATCTTTGTCTCCTCGTTCATTTGGATGTTTCTTATCGTCCTCTTATTTAAACACGCAATTTTTATAGGGATACTAATATGGAATTAAACAGGTATGTTTTCATTTCCTCTTATGATTTTCGGCTTTTTTTTAGTTAAATTTATGAATAAGCTTCACTTTGATTCCTTCAAACAATGGGATTGAGTAGACTAATAAGGAATACAGGTAGTAAGTTTATTTTCAACGATTTTACAGCTGTTGACTTGTTTTCATTCTCTCTCATACTGTCATAAAGCTGTTGTAATTGAGGCTTGATTAATGGACGCTGGTGGAGAAGATGATGTACACAACAAATATCGTCGAAAGAGAAAATTTTCAAACAGGAACAATAGTGTTTCAATATCCATCCCAGTGATCTCCAATGAATTGAATTCGGGTGAAGTAAGTCTTATTGCCTTTATAGGTAGTTCGTTACATAGTAGAAGGTATATATAACCATTAATTGAGAGATTTAATTTAATAATGAAGCAAAATATAAGCACTTGTTGAGGTCAGGAGAGTTGGGGATGTGCAACAACATGCGAGGGTTGTTACGTTAAAAAAGCAAGAGCTTGAATTAGAAACTTAAATTAGAAATGAAGTCAAAGTGGTTGCTATTTATTGCAACTTTCCCTATCAACTTCTATATTCATGTAGTTGTACGTATTGCTTTGCAGAATGATGGTGTTGTACATAGGTGGACACGTGAAAAGTTATCATTTCTAAAACATTTTACAATTCGGGTCATGAAGCCAGATGAAAAAGCTGTTGAACTGTTGAACCAATTCGTGCTCGTTTCTTGCATACTTGCCATTTTCATAGACCCCTTATTCTTTTACTTGTTGTCGATGAAGAAGGTAAAACTTAATTTTGATATGAAACTATTAATTTACGTAGGTTAAATTTTTGTATGCTCATAAATTGTTTAATTCACTCTTGTATTACATAATTTTACTTGACTTCATTCTGTAAAGAATTTTTTGTAGAAACAACTAAAATTTTTGTTGGAATTAGTAATTGTTTATCCTGATTATTGTAATTAAAAACCAACTTTTTTAGTTGTCTAAGTTTAAAATTATTATTTCTCACCTACGAAACACAACTCGGTCATTTCCTTTATTTCTACTTTGAAACACAAAATTAAACATCAACAATCATGAGAACTGGCGCCATCTCCCACTGTATAGTACTAAATGTTCCAGACTCTGATTATGAGTTGAATGTTTTTGTAACCTTTCTTGCGAATTAATGGGTATACTATATAGTGTTTTTAATTTTTTTTTTTTTACATTAGTCTTTGACTAATCTTTTGACTATCATCCTTTTTGGAAGCAGGACTTCAAGTGTGTAGTAATTGATTGGACATTGGCAATAACCCTTGTGGTTTCCAGAAGCATAACTGACCTTATATATTTCTTGCGCATGCTTGTTGAGGTAAACCATTGTTTAATCACCTCTTTTTACATTATCATTTTGAGTAATTGGCATGTAATATGTGTTTTACTTTTGCAGTTCAGGTTAGCATACATTTCATCTGATCCAGTAGTTGTAGGTGCTGGAGACTTGGTTCAAAGTCCTAGAGAAATCAGGCCACGTTATATTTCTGGATTTTTCTTGCTTGACTTATTTATCATACTACCAGTTCCTCAGGTAAGATCGATTCTCTTGCAACCATATATAATATCATTTCTTCGCATCCAGGGTGGAGCCAAGATTTTTCGATAAAAGGGGTTAATTATATTAAAATATATACATTCGATTAACATAACATAGTTTGTAAAATTGAAAGAAAAATTGATTTAAAAAAAGTCCTCTAAATAGGAGTAGCATCGATCTTTGGAAGAATCAATATTATATTTGGTTTTTTCTTTCGGTTTCCGTATTAATATTATTTTCACGATGTGAGCATAGATTATAAAATCTTCAATAATATTATCAAGCATATGTTATAAAATCTTCAATAATACTATCACTAACAAGACGCGATTTTCGGTCATAAATATCTTTTTTTGTTTGAAAAAAAGAATCAATCGTTTTTTTCTCTTATGATTAGCATTATGACGATACGAAATTAAGAAACTAATCATTATAATTATTAACCATAAAGTACATAAAAATTATATATTAACCATAAGTAATAAGAAATTAAAGTTACATTTTCTTGAAAAAGAATTAGGAATGTTGAGGATTGTAATTGTCGTTCCTGGCTTTGCTGTGGTTGATGTATTCACTTTTTTTTTTTTTTTTTTTTTTTTTTTTTTTTTTTTTTTTTGTATGTATTTTGTACAGTGACGGAGTTAGATTGGGCGTTGGGGGTACAAAAGCATCCCAAAAAAAATTGTTTTATGTATATAAAAAAAATTATTTGTAAACATGTTCTATGTTAATGTACCCTCAACTAAAGAGATTATATCATATTTTTTAATGCCCTGAATATGATAACTATAGAGAATATATATTGATAATTTTTGTACCCAATATATATATTTGTAGCTTAAGAAATTGGGCTTTTGTGGGATGTGTGGGTTTAGCCTCTTTGGTGATCTATGAGCTTAAAACAAATATTAAGGTTTTATGACTAATATTGCTTGAACAAATATGAGATGGGCAGCCCGCTCGCTAGTCCCCCTATTCCGTTCGCCCCTATTCGAACTGTCATTTGTGGATTCCTCTTAATTAAGTTAATAACTTATCCATGCAGATAGTTGTACTATTTATCCAACCAAATGGCGTTACATCACCCGGAATAATTAGTAACGCAAAGTTTATCTTGCAAACAGCTTTTATTATACAGTACATTCCCAGATTATACCGATTTCAGCCTCTTCTTGCTGGCCAGTCTCCAAGTGGTTTCATATTTGAGTCAACATGGGCCAACTTTTTCATCAATCTTATGACTTTCGTCTTGGCTAGTCATTTTATTGGGTCATGTTGGTATATGTTAACGATAATGGTGGGTGAGATCGATCATGAATATATTCCTCATGTTTATTCTTGTTATTATTCATGTTATTCGCGTTTAAATGTTTTTTGTAGGCTATTAACCTATTCTAATTGTTTTTTTTTTTTTTTTTTCCTTTAATTCCTATGAAGAGGATGAATAGATGCCTTCGAGACGTCTGTAATAATTCTACAATTACAGATTGTAGAAAGTTTATAGATTGCGGTCGTGGGAATGATTATGGGGGTTTTGAACGTAATTTGGAATGGAATGACTGGAAACAAGATAGAAATTCTAGTGTTTGTTTTCGTGAAGATGGTATAAATTATGGAATTTACGCTACAGCTGTCAATCTTACTACCGATAAAAGTTTCCTCACAAGATATGTATACTCCTTTTTTTGGGGGCTTCAGGTATTGAATATTTTAGATCAACTTTATCTGCCTTTTATTCTTTATTGTGCCCATTCTCATTGTTTCTCTATTTTCAATTGGTGATGATTGTGAAAAGCAAATCAGTACACTTGCGGGAAATCAAACTCCAAGTTATATCGTTGGGGAAGTTTTATTTACCATGGGAATCATTGGACTTGGACTTTTGCTTTTCGCTCTTCTTATCGGAAACATGCAGAACTTTCTTCTAGGTCTTGGACGCAGGTACCCCTTTTACTATCACAATTATATAAACATTCAACCCCTCATTCTTTTATCATATCAACACTTTATATCTTTTAATATTATCTTATTAATTAGACAAATTGAAAAGTCACTTAGAAGACGTGATGTTAAGGAGTGGATGAAACACCGTGGCTTGTCAGACGAGATAAGAAGGTGTTAAAAGATCTTATTTTGCATTGTCTTTTTTTTTTTTTTTTTTTATTTTTTTTATTTTTTTTATTTTTTATATTGGTTTAGTTTTGTTGTCTATTTGGTCAAAGGTTGACCATTTGTATGTATTGATGAGTAGAAGAGTTCTCGAGTCGGAGAGTTGTAATTGGGTGGCTACCCGAGGGGTTGATGAAGAGACGCTAATGAAGAATCTACCGGAAGAATTGCAAAGAGATATACGCCGACATATCTTTAAGTTTCTCAAGGAAGTAAGATTCAACTCTCATTGTCTGTTCCTATGATGTTGACAATTATATGATTATAGCATTATACTTCTTGTATTTTTCATATTAAGGCACTATACTTTCAAAATTTTACCCAAATATAGCAGAGTAGGATTGTGAAAATTTCTTTGAGTTTTGATTGAATTTCTATAATTCGATAGATTTTATAAGGTATGATACCATGATAAGAAGAAATAAAAGTACAAGATGCTATAATAAACTAACCATTGAAAGTACATTGTTATATCTTGCATTTAACCCCCAAAAATATATCTCAACTTTGAAAAAGAAACCTGCCCAATTATAGTATTGTAATTTATTCTTCAACCCAATTATACTTTAAACATTTTACATATTACGATGTTGTACTTTGAAAACTCTGTCAAAATGTGAAAATTCTTTGTTTTTTAGTGACATTGCTATTAATGGGTGTATTTTTTTTTTGAAGTGTAGTACTATCATAGGAAAAATGAAAGTACGTTTTATACGAAACAAATCAATGAAGTGTGTTGCTATTTCTTACATCTGTACATTACAACTTGAAGGTCCGATTATTTGCACTTCTGGATGAACCATCATTAGATGCAATATGTGAGAAGTTAAAGCAAAAGACTTACATCAAGGAAGGCACAATCTTATATGAAGGAGGGTTTGTAACAAAGATGACTTTTATTGTAAGAGGAAAATTGGAAAGCATTGAAAAAAATAGGAATGATAAAGTTTCATTGTCGGAGGGTGATGTATGTGGTGAAGAACTTCTCAAATGGTGCCTTCAAGGTATAATTAAACTAGTTAAGGATGGTTAAATGTCAACAAATAGCAACCTACTTTTTACTTCATTTCTAATTTGGTGAATATTGGGCTTTAAAATGTTTTTTTCCAGATAAAAGAAGCCAGAGAAAACAAGGGAACAGATTGCGTAGCAAAAGGACAGTGAAATGTGTAACAAATGTTGAGGCATTTGTTCTTCGGGCTGAAGATCTTGAAGAAGTGATCACTCTTTTTGATGGATTTGTAAAGAATCATCGTCTTCAGTTTGCCATTAGGTAATAATGCTTCTTTTACACAGTATTTATCCACTTAACTTTCATATTTGTTTAGGTAATAATGTCACTAAATAGTAACAAACTTTGATAATCACTTCACTATGTACCAAAAATTATTCTATAACATAAGGAATAATAATCATATAAATTTTTAGTTATTGTTCTTTTAGTTATTCATATAAATGCACCAATGCTTGTACATTGTATATTATTTTTTTGGACTAAATTACATTCGTGGTCCTGAGTATAATTGATTCTTCAATTTTTGTCCCACAAAGTTTTCTAATGAAATTTTGGTCTTTGCGATTTTTGCAACGATTTTGCCCCTTGTTTAGAGTTCTGTTAATGGGACAAAATAAAAAAAGTATTTTACGCATAGACCTAAAGTTGTCGTTTGTATTTGGAATAGGGACCAAAAACATTACAAGAACTTCAAATGAGGCCCAAAATCCACTCTACTCAGGGATGAAAATTGTAATTTCCTCTATTTTCTTTATTAAGTAAACATATTAAGAGGCAAGTAAATTAGGTTATTAATCTAATAACATGTCAGTATTGGCAACGATGATGAAAAAACTGAGTGATAATGATATCAAATATTTTAATGAGTCATGTAGTTATATTTTCAAATGTTTGTATGAAATATTGTAAATTTATATTATAATCTATAGTAATTTTACATTTCATAATAATAATGTTCTCACAAAAGACAAATAAATCTTAAGCACAGTTATCTAGTAATCTTCAACGAAGAATAAACACTTAAAACAAAGATCACTCGTTTAACCAGTAGAAGGTAAAACACAATTCAAAAATTTGCAATGAAAAAAAAAAGTTGACTGGTGGAAAAAAATGTGAAACTTGGTTTTGAATGTTAATGACATTTTGGAAACTTCAGGAAAAAGTCTCCATACTGGCAAGGTGTGGCGGCAACCACCATCCAGTTGGCATGGAGATACAAGAAGAAGCGGCTAAACCGTCATGCATGTGTACCGGGCCATACCACTAATATGTTGTAACTTTATTAGTAGTTTTCATGGCTTATGAAGTTGTAATATGTTTCTTTGAATGAAAAATATACCCTTGGGGCATCTATTCCATTTGCGTTGTTAAGATGTAGTTGAGCTGGCTTACTATGCTAATATCAAATTCAACGCTTCCTATGATCAACAAAAATGGACTATGGACTATCTATGCTTTTACATTGTATATTATTTTCCGGAGTCAATTACATTCATGGTCTTGAGTATAATTGATTTCTTCAATTTTGGTCCCACAAAGTTTTTTGATGAAATTTTGGTATGTGTTATTTTTGTAATGGTTTTGGTCCTTGTTTCAAGTTCCATTAATGGGACAAAATCGCAAAAATCAATTTTACCCATAGATCTAAAATTGTCGTTTTTACTACGAATAGGGACCAAAAACATTACAAGAACTTCAAATGAGGTCCAAAATTATAAAATTCCACTATACTCAGGGATTAAAATTGTATTTTCCTCTATTTTCTTTATTAAGTAAACATGTTCAAGAGGCAAGTAAATTTGGTTATTAATCTAATAATACGTCAGTATTGGCCACGATTATGAAAAAAATGAGTGCTAATGATATTAAATATTTAATGAGTCTTCTAGTTATATTTTCAAAAGTTTTTATGAAAAATTATAAATTTATATTATAATCTATAATAATTTTACATTTACGTAATAACATAAGATTCTCATAAACGACAAAAAAAAATCTTAATACTTATCTAGTCAGCTTCATGGAAGAATAAACACTTAAAATAAAGATAACTCGTTTAACCAATAAAAGGTAAAACACAAATCAAAAAGTCGCAATGGAGAAAAAATGAAAGTTTACCGGTGGAACAAATGTGAAACTTGGTTTTAAATATTAATAACATTTTAGAAATTTCAGGAAAAAATCTCCATACTGGCAAGGTGTGGCGGCAACCAGCATCCAGGTGGCATGGAGATACAAGAAGAAGTGGCTAAACCATCGTGCATGTGCACCTGGCCATACCTCTAATTTGTTGTAACTTTATTAGTAGTTTTCATGGCTTATGAAGTTGTAATATGTTTCTTTGAATGACAAATATGCCTTTGGGGCATCTATTCCATTTGCATTGTTAAGAAGTAGTTGAGCTCGCTTAATATGCTAATCTTAAATTCAACGCTTCTTATGATCAACAAAAATGGACTATAGACCATCTATTAACGATAACCTACAACAACCTAAATTTATCCTTGTCTAGTTTATAGAATCTTGTTGTAATTCAAATTCATATCTTGTAATATTGTATTTGTGATAAATAGTGAATCAGATATCTCTCCATATTATGGGAGATTGATTTAATAAAATCTTTATATGGTAACAACCTTTCTACGATCCTTCTAGCCGGCCCTATTCAATTTTTCTCGATCTTCATCATGTCACCTGTCTCATCTTTTACTTCTTCCGAGGGTAACCTCTCCCTCAACACCATTTTGCATATGTTGACTATCAAGCTAACTTCTTCCAATTACCAACTATGGAAGAATCAAATCATTCCTCTCCTCAAGTATCAAATATTCTCAATCATGTTAATGGTTTTATAGTGGCTCCCTCAGCCACCATCACTTTTGAAGACAAGTCCTCTCCAAATCATGCTTTCGTCGTTTAGGAAGAACCTGATCAAAGGGTCATCTTAATTGTAACATCCCGACTTCCAGGTATGAATTTCAAGAAGTTTTATACATCAGTTAAGACCTAATTGACGAGTTTGAGGCCCTAACTCGTCGTGTAGAAACTGATCAAGCCACAGTTTATGAAACCTACTCGACGAGTTGAGGCTGTGCATGAAAGCCCTGATTTTTAGGGTTTACACCTTATATAAAGGACCTTAAGTCCCCCTAGCCAGCCTTCCTTATCACATTACAGTCCATAGAAACCCTAATCGAGCTAACCTTCCATTTTAAGAGTGTGTAAGGCCAAAGAGTGTGTGTTTGGTGCATTTTATAAAGAATCTTGAAGTGGTGAGTGCATAACTGAAGGAAGGGGATTTAGATCTGGATTTTGCATTGTTATAGCAGCCATCTTGAGGTATAAATCTGCTACCTTGACCTTTCATTGCTTAGATCTCCTCTCATGAAAGAAAATGGTCCTTTTTGGTACATCTTGGAGTCATTCTCAGATTTGGGCTTATCATGAGGACATGGATTTAGATCTAAACTCCTTTAGGCCTTCTTAGGTCTACATACTCAAGCTTTGTTAAGCTTTGGCCAATTTCCATTCCCTAAACCTCTTATTTAGCTTAGTATTGTTGTTTTGATCCCTTTTATGCCTTGCATGCACATAAAGTTATTACGTGGTATCTTAGTCCTAAGAGGCTAGATCTGTATTTTAGAGCCTTGGAGTCGACTGGAAAGGGTGAACACGTTAAGATAGGAAAACTCGACGAGTTGCTTAGCCAACTCGACGAATTGGATTAGTGTTTTCCTGCTTTCTGGATTCTGAGTGAACTCGGCGAGTTGGTGAGATAACTCAAAGAGTTGGTTAAGGTTTTCCCGATCTTTTGGACACTACATGGACTTGACGAGTTGGTTGGCAACTTGGCAAGTTGACTCGAGTTTTCACGGTATCTGGACACTACATGGACTCGACGAGTTGCTAGCATTTGATATTTATGATATCGATTGTATGTTTGGGGGTGGGTTGAGGCGGTCCTGCTTTGTGCTGCAGGCCAACATACCCAGGGCGACCCGGATAGACTGAAGGCCCAATGGGGCGTACCAGTCAGGCCGAAGTCCCAGAGAACGGTCCAAACAGGCTAAAGGCCCGGTAAGGCGGACCAGACATGCTGAAGGTTCTTATAATGGGCAAAACAGACTTAAGGCCTGGTGAGGGTGGTCCAGTTATGCTGCATACTCTATATGCATGTTGTTTGTTATGATATTGTTATGGTTTGTATGGCGTTGGTATTTTGGGGGAACTCACTAAGCTTCGGGCTCACAAGCTACAATAAATGGGACCTATAGGGACGAAAAGTGTCATCTCTATAGATTAAAAAGTCATCCTTATAGGTGTCCGGGACGACATGTCGCCCCTATAGTTTTCGTCACCATAGCGCCGTCGCAGTAAATATTTTTGGTCGTCGCTATAAATATCGTTGCAATAGATATCCATTAGAGACCACACGTCGTCTTGTCCTGGCTTGTCACTACATGGTGATGGTCTCCATAGATGAAGCTACGGATGTGACATGTCGTCTCTATAGGTGTATCTATAAATACAACATGTCGTCTCTATAGATATAGATGTGGAGTCATGACATACCCTTTAGCTACAACACATTATCGCGGTAGATTCACCAATAGATATGACATGTCGTCTCTATAGAAACGACATTTGCTCCCTAAAGCTTCTTGCACTCTTTCCGCTTTCATTATCTGAACCTTGATCATGAATTCAGTTTAATCATTTAAAGAAAAAGGATGAAGGAACTAGGAAGAAGGAACCTTGATCTCAATCCATGGCTTCTTCTGTTTTTGTGCACACAAAGTGAGTTATCTTGTTTCCCTTTTTTGATCTTTTTGTATGCAAACTCATATTTTTTCCAGGCTTCATGAACAAGATGTTCAACTAAAGAAAGGACTTAATCATTAATTTAGCTCCACTTCATTCAACAAACAAAAACATTAGAATCAAGATTATTAGGTTGCAAAATTTCATCTTGATGACCAATGTAGCCTACCTCCATTAAACCATTATTTAATTTAAAGGAACTAAAATTCTCTATCACCAATAGGTGACCATGTTAACCCCAAAAAGGAAACTTTAATTTAATCTTTCAACTCTTGACTGATTTATTTTTCCAAGATTTTAAAAACCCTTATATATATGGACACAAATAACTTGTTATAAAGATCAAATTTTATAAAAAAAAGTGAACCTTTCAAGGCTTTACAGGGATATTTAATTTAATATATGAATCCCTTATGAGGTCTTGCATTAGAGGCCCTATCCAACATTCAATGGAGCCTGAACAACTTCAACCTCCCCATTGCCATACCTAAAAAGATGAATCATCTATAAAAAATACATCTTTACCCTTCAAAAAAATGAGCTTTGTAACTTATCTTTAGCAAAATATATAGTGTGTTACATTAATAAACTAGTCAGTTAACTTAAAATGTTTTGTTTCATTTTTTGACTGAATGAATTGCTTGAATAAAAGAAATGACCAATTTACCCTCTGTCAAGAAGTGATGTTTTTTTACTACCTTGTTCTCCAACTATCAGGACATGAACTCACTAGGGACACAACATGAGAGTTGTCATTCCTCCTTGTGGAACCTGCGTGATCATTTGTGTGTGTGAACTTTGTTTGTTTGTTGGTTCAGGTTTTATCAATGAGTGGTCCATCATTTTCAAGTCTTATATATATATATATATATATATATATATATATATATATATATATATATATATATATATATATATATATATATATATATATATATATATATGGAAAAGTTCAATAGAGAACCACTATTAATCAAGGAACCAAGGAACCAATCCAAAGCGTTAGAATTTAAAGCGATCAATGGCAAAAGGAAGGGTTGTAAACTTTTATAATTGACGCACATATATCGGATTATAACAAAACTCACTTCCTTTTTTTCATTTAAAAAAAAATTTAGGCCAAGTTTTTTATCGAAAAAAAAAAAATTCGAATATACGGTTGTTCAAGATTTTCCGTCCTCTTTCCATAGAAATCCATGATGATATATAAATTGAAAATTTTTTTTTCGAAAAAAACCCACTTAATTTTCTTAATTTTTTTCAATATTTAAGTTTATTTAAAAAAAAAAACTAATTATACCAAAAATATTAATTTTTTGTACTCTATTAATAAACATCAGCACCGATAAAAAAAACCAGAACATTGTAGATTCACATTGTGATTCTAAACTGTAAATATTTCAACTTTTAATGTTCACAATATGAAAAATCTCGAACAATTCAGATTCGCATTGTGAATCTGAATTACTATTATGCACACTGTGAATCTGAGGAGGTTCACAATGTGAATTTGAACATGTTTACAATATGAATCTGAATAGGTTAACAATGTGAATCTGAACTAAAATATCATTTTTTTTAAACATGAATATGAATCCATGATTAAAAAGTACAAAAAATATGAATTTTGATATATTTATTAATTTTTTTTCTATAAAAAATAGACCTAACTTTTATCATCAAAGAAAGACAAAATTGCAAGAATGGTC